ATTACTCGTGTGACCTGCCGACCAATGAAAAGGGCCGAGTGTCGACCCGTGAGTACGATGACTGTAGTACTCCTGTAGTATTACTGTATTTCTACACACACACGCACACACACACACACACACACACACACACACACACACATAATGTGCCTGATTTAGCTTCTGAGACATTCTCTTGACATTTCCAATATGCTGTCTAACTCGAGCCCGTTACCTCCAGAGCGTGTGTGTGTGTGTGTGTGTGTGTGTGTGTGTGTGTGTGTGTGCGTGTGTGTGTGTGCGTGTGTGTGCGTTTCACCGTCCTCTGGAACACAAACGTATGCAAATCAAAGACTGTAAGACGCTGAGGAGAGAGACAGAAAAGAGAGACAACCTAGTTGCATCACCATGGCAACCAGCCCTCATCCCGTCCTGTCGACCTGCATGGCGCTGTGGGGGAACCCTCCCAGAACAAGAAGAAGAAGAAAGTCATGAATTCTCTGGCGAGACGCCCTTGAGGACAATATGGTTACAACACAAACTAGACTTTTACAGCCAGGTTGTATTTATGGTTCAAACAAACACACGTGACAGGATATCGTCCGACATTTAAACGTCAAACATGTTTGAACAAGTGACGTCTTCCTTCTAAATGACTGAATCCACACGTTCCTCCTTCACTCTGAGCTCGTGTTCTTCTGTCTGGTACGGAGGCGACAGAGGGGGGGGTGACAGATGGGTGTAGTCACTAAACCCTTGGAACACACACACACACACACACACAGGAGACATGCTGTGGGTGTGCGGGCTGCATGCATTTAGTGGATTTGCAAAGATCGGGAAAGAACCTTCCAACACGCAGTTGGGGGGGGGTTCATGGGGGGAGGGGTCATGGGGGGGGTCGTGGGGGGGGTTCACTTTGTCTTCATCGTGACCAAAACCGTCGGCTGTTCAGCACATTGCAGATCACACGAGAGCAGAGAAGAAGAAAGACGAACAGCGACTTCCTCTCTGTCAGATCAGGGTTTTGTGTTCTCTTGTGCTTCCTCTTACTCACATTTTGTGTCTGTTAACTCACACGTCTACAAAGGATTAAAAAGGTCATTAATTATCTTAAACTGAGTTCATGAGATTTAAAATTGAGAAAAATCATGAACCATGGATGGCTTCATTTATTAAAGGTTCTGTGATTCTGATTCTTTCATTCAGAAATCTGCAGTTCATCAGAGCATCAAGCTCCTGAACCAAGATGGCGGCACCGTGGAACCAAGATGGCGGCACTGTGGAACCAAGATGGCGGCACCGTGGAACCAAGATGACGGCACAGTGGAACCGAGATGACGACACAGTGGAACCAAGATGGTGGTATTGTGGAACCAAGATGGCGGCACAGTGGAACCAAGATGGTGGCACCGTGGAACCAAGATGGGGGCACTGTGGAACCAAGATGGTGGCACAGTGAAACCAATATGGTGGTATTGTGGAACCAAGATGGTGGCACCGTGGAACCAAGATGGTGGCACCGTGGAACCAAGATGGCGGCACAGTGGAACCAAGATGGTGGCACCGTGGAACCAAGATGGGGGCACTGTGGAACCAAGATGGTGGCACAGTGAAACCAATATGGTGGTATTGTGGAACCAAGATGGTGGCACCGTGGAACCAAGATGGTGGCACCGTGGAACCAAGATGGCGGCACTGTGGAACCAAGATGACGGCACAGTGGAACCAAGATGGTGGTACCGTGGAACCAAGATGACGGCACAGTGGAACCAAGATGACGGCACAGTGGAACCAAGATGGTGGTACTGTGGAACCAAGATGGTGGCACCGTGGAACCAAGATGGTGGCACTGTGGAACCAAGATGGTGGTATTGTGGAACCAAGATGGCGGCACAGTGGAACCAAGGTGGTGGCACCGTGGAACCAAGATGGTGGCACTGTCGAACCAAGATGGCGGCACAGTGGAACCAAGATGGTGGTATTATGGAACCAAGATGGTGGCACTGTGGAACCAAGATGGTGGCACCGTGGAACCAAGATAATGGCACTGTCAGTTTTTCCAATAAACATAATTCCCAATAGAAAGGAAACTATTCGGATAAAAGGTTTGTATTAAAACCAAAGTAAGAGCTGCAGTCGGTTTTCTGTGCGTCATTCTTAGGATGTGAAACAACTGCTGTGTGACGTGTCACAGCTGGAATCATTCTCACATAAACTCACACTTCTCCTGTGAGTTTATTCATGACTCCCAGCATGCACTGGGAGAAGACGATGGTGCAGAAACACGGCTGCATGAATATGAATCTGTTCGTGATACGAGCGACCAGCAGCGTCTTTATCTTTTATGCATTAATAGACTTTAAACAACAAACCAGGAAAAAAAACTTAAATACGCTAGAAAAATCCCTAAAATCTCACAAATAAATATAAATATCATGATAACTCCACATCTCCTTAAAATATCCTTCAATCTTAATCTAACAACTGTAAATATCTTATAAGCCTCCTTAAAGAACAATATTCTTTAATGTTCCCTAAATGTTCCAAATAGTCAGTTCTAGTCCGACATCTGCAACCACCTCGAATCCTCCTGAAATGTCCTTGAGTGTTCCCTGAATGTGAGTGACCATGACTCAGGTCGGCCTGCAGCAGAGGTCAGAGGTCACGTTAGGTTAAGGCGATGTAATCAGATGTGACCACATATACAGTATATGTGTGTGTATCAATACATATTTATTGCTGAAAGCTTTACAATCTTAAATACAAATATAACAAGAAATCCTGATTCATTGAAAAATACTTCTGCACATATTTCATATATAAACATATATATTTATTATTTTCCCTCTGGAAGCCAGTCGTAGCGTTTTGCTTGAAAACGTTCTTCACGTAATGAGCAGTTGATTAGCTGGCAGGTCAGAAGGTCATCGGATCCAAAGGCCTCTTTGTGTCATTGGTGATTTCCCTTAACATCTAAAACCAGCCCATTGATTAAATATTAACGTGTGTGTCTGTACTTGAAGTCTGGCCTCAAACTGTCGCCGCTCAGTTTTAACTCGACCGGAGTGACGAGCGGCGCCATGATTGACAGGGTGGCATTTGGCTGTGTGTGTCTGTGTGCGTCTGTGTGCGTCTGTTCGTAGCGGCCTAAGCCAGCGTGTCGTCTCTGCAGTGACATTGTGCTCCAATGTGAGTCTGTAATGAGCTGCATTTGCATTGTTGTGTGTCAGTTTGTGTGTTTGTGTGCGTAAAAACTCACCCTCTCTTCCCAGAGTTCATTGCATGGCTGACTGGATTGACAGGCCAAAGAGGGAGAACCACTGACAGGTTTCCTGTAAATGAACCCTTAGCATTAGCATTAGCGCAGCGATGGCCGTCCTCTGCGGCTGGAGGGTCGTTTGATCAGGTTTTCATCCTCAATAGTCGTTTATTCTCGTGTCCGTCTGATTCACTTCCTCTGATCGCTTCAACTCAAACAATAAAAACAGAAGAAGAACGTGACAAAAAAAGAGTTTTAATGTTCAAAGGGAAAGACACAAAACATACAGTTAAAGACACATTTTCATTTCTCAGCATGAAGCTCTTTTGAAAGTCTCTCCTCATGTGCGTGTGTGTGTGTGTGTGTGTGTGTGTGTGTGTGTGTGTGTGTGTCTGTGTCAGTATCTGCCCTGGACCCCCAGCTCGGTCTCAGCGGTGCGTTCGATTTGCTCGTGGACGAGTCTGACTTCCTGTTGGGTCAAAGTTCGCTCCATGTGACGGTAGATGATGCTGTAACACTGGCTCCTCCTACCGGTCCTGGAGAAGGGCGGGGGGGGGGGGGGGGGGGGGATTCAATTAAACACGGGGTTCTCTCCACCGAGGCTGGGGATTTTATTCTCACACCCCCCAAAAGGGGTTGGTGTATTTTGACTCTTTGGAGAAGCCTTGGTGAAAAAGGGAAAAAATTGTGTTTTCACACCACCGGAGACGAACACCCCCACTAGGAAGGCTTTGGTGCGCCCTTGGTGAAAATAATTTTTAGAAGGGGAAAGAAAACCAGAGCCTTTAAACGTGTGCCACACAACAAGATCCTTTTTGTTTAAGGACTCCGGGGGAAGAAG